ATATAACTATAGTTCTGCTAACACATAGACAGGATACAGAATGTGTTACACTTATAAGTTGTTTTCAACATTTGCTTTAAAGTATCATACACAGGAAAGTTCTTACAGAGTTGAACAATCATAAGGATAACACATTTCGAGGATATGTTTTTTAACACATTGCACGTTAGGAAATGCATCAGACTGCCTGTACACAATATTGTACACAGCAAATATTTCTGCTTCATGGAAAATCTGTAGAACAAAATAGTTTACATACTTTTGTGTATATAATCTATTTCATGATTAAGGCAAAACTATAATGCACTGGCCAAAGAGGATTAACTGTAAACACTACGGTCTGAGTGTAGAAGCTGGGAATTTAACTTCCAGAAGTGGCTCAATATTACATCTGCTACATACTCTGCCGGTGCTTATGCTGTATATACATCATGTTGCCCACCAGGGGAATAAGGTGATAATAAGCAAAGCATAAAAACCCATCTCTCCACACTGAAAACATGTTCCAGCTCAATCAGAAATTAGCAGGTATTCTTGTCGCAGTCTGACTTAAAAATCTCTTGTCTTTATCTTTCTGTGGCTACATAAAACATCAAATCACACGAGTCAACTTCCGCCACCACAGCAGTCCCCCATTATTTGTCTCAGAGGAAAAGTTCTTAAAGCGTTGTTATTTCAAGTCTTTAAAATTGGAATCCTTAGGTTTCTTTTTTTATCAATCCAGATTTGTATAATATTTATGATTATCATTCTTTCTGAAATTGGCATGGCACTTACTGGATTTACATTCAGTAATAAGATAGTTTTCAGGTTTGGTGGCGCAGTCAGTCATCTCTGTTTCAAATCGCCCAGGACTGAAATCGCAAGGATTACACAACTTTAATGTAATTGTAATGTAGCTAGTGGATTGGCAGATATTTGTATTATTATTAAAATGGCACTTGAGGAAAAGCAATATGTTTGTATGGGGACTTGTTTAAAGACAACTGCACTTATGTTTCTCTCTTTGACTTTGACACCTGAGCAAAAGTAGGAGTTTATCATCATGTGTCGAATGTGACCATCATCTCTCATAAACGAGACAATAGGATATGACTAAATATATTTTCTGTATATACTCTCATCTGTTTATTCTGTGGTTGAAAATAAATGTATCATAAAATGGTTTTCAAGACAAGAAATAACATAAATACTCTGTAACTATAAATAAAACCTCTCTGGGCTTCTACTCAGTCTCTAGTAACGATTATACACAACAAGTCCATTGGGGAGCACATACTAGAAGAGCACAGCCTACTGTGTCTAATACAAATAATAGTTTATGTACATTATGATAATTTTTCCTGTACACTTCACTACACTGGCTGCATCACCGCCTGGTACTGCCTTTATCTGTAAAGCATCAAAGAGGGTGATGAAAACTGCTCAACACATCACCAGGATATAGATGCCACCCATGGAGGAAGTCCACACCGAGCGGTGCAGGAAGAAGGCCAACAGGATTATCAGAGACCCCAACCCACCCAGTCCCCCACCCTGAAGATAAGGATCATCAGTTTCATCCAACAGCCTTTTTTAACTCTTGAGCTCATTACTACTGTCAATGTACCTTTATATACTTTTATTTAGTTTATTCGTGTTGTATTGTGTTGTATTGTAACTTCTGAGACTTATTATACGTCTTACAATCCCATTATTCTAACATTCTCAGTGCGAATGTAGAGTTCTAATATGATGTTCTTTGCCAATGTCTCTGTAATTGTTGTGCATATCATAATAACTTAAATGTGATCCATAGGAGGGGTGGGGGTGTGCGATCCTCTTCATGCTGAAGTTTTGGGCTCGATTCTCAGAGATGCGTCATACAGGCTCTCCTCATCCAGTGTCGTACTGCTGTCCAGCAGGTACTTTGCAACCTAAAGTAATAATAACCACAGCAAAAACTTAAATTAGAGTCCAAAGATATCAAACATATCGGAGAATCAACAGAGATGCAAGCTGAACACTCTTAAAATGTATTCTGACTCAAATATTATAAATGTGATCAATATAACTTAGCAGACATTATTATTCTTCATCAAAGACAATCACTAGTATTCAAAGATATACATATACATGAAACCACTTTGCTAGCATTACATTGAAAAAGTTTGAATACATTTGCTGATTTTAGAAATTGATTAAACTCGAGCTGACCACAATATGGAGTTCTGAAAGGTACTAACTAAAATAGACTATTAGTCAAATAAAAACATATTGAAATTGACATCAAATAATGTCTCCGAACACACAATCAAAACCTGAAAAAGAATAAAATACACAATTAAAAGATACAGACCAAATTAACCTTACCTTTGGTTGATAATCAATCTTGTAAGCCGTTTGCTGAAATTGCCGTATTTCTCTGATAATGTGAGATATCTGGAGACAAAAATAAAACAATATAAGACAGATAAAATATAAAGTGCGTGTTAGTGTGTGTACTTCAGCACATTGGTGTTCCTTACCATTCTCATCTTGGAGAAGTTAACCAGGCTGTCCTCGGTGTAGTTGGGTGTTCCCTCCTCGATAAAGGCCAGGTCGGTCAGGTACATTCCCAGGTAGGGAACACAGGGAGGGTCACAGCTGAGGACAAGGACAGGGCAGATAAAGCGTAAAGTACACAAAGGCTAAGAGGAATACAACTGAGTAATTAAAAGCTTTACTTCTTCAGAGCTTCTCTCAGGTTTTTGAATCGTCCCTCTGATGACACCAGCTTCTGTAACTTGTCGATCACGGTCTTCGTCTACAAAATCAAGAAAAACTCTTGTAACCAGGAATCAAAAAAGTATTTGAAATCTTCCTAAACGTGTATTCATGTTTTAAGAACTAAGGACAATGCTATTCAAAAGCGTGCCTCTCTATGAGCATGTTGTCTTCAATTCATTTAGTTTCACCTGCAATATGCCCTGCTTTATTTTTGCAATTAAACTACTTCAAATTATTTTCAAGAGTTGGATAATTAGGTGGATAAAATTCAAAGTGTGCATAATAAATATAAAACCAACGCAGGGGTATTTTAGTGTCGTTTAGCTTATCTTAGCTCAGCTATGCTCAGTTAAGCTAAGTTCACTGCCCCCCTATTGATCCTCTAATTAAACACTGAGCAAAATAAGCTAAAATGTATCCCGAATTGGCAAACTATTTCTTTAGGTCCAGCTGAACTTTAATGATGCTTTTGCCTCTCTATGAGCATGTTGTCTTCCATTCATTTTGTTTCCCCTACAATATGCTCTTTTTCATTTTTCAGGTTCAACATTTATGGTATTACACCATTCACATTATTTTCAAGAGTTGGATAATTGGATGGATACAAATGTAAGTGTGCATACTAAATAGGAAACCAAAGCCAGGGGTAGTTTAGCTTAGCTTATTTTAGCTGAGCTTAGCGGTATTGATCCTTTAATTTAACACTAGGCAAAATAGCAAATAGGCAAACATTTTATCCCGAATTGGCAAACTATTATTTTAGACCCAGCTGAACTTTAATGATAAAAAACGAGCAAACCTGAAAATAGTTCACCCAGTTTACCTCACTACAGGAGGTTATTTTAAGAAATGTTTTATACCTGCTTGGAGACTTTGAGCCAGGTCTTCTTGAGGCGGAAGACGGAGCTACGGTTCAGGGAGGATGTGATCTCCAGCATGGCGTTGTAGTTGTGGAGGCAGCGACAGATGTCTGCCACTGCGACCCATTTCTCGATCACCGCCACTCTCAGGTTGACATCGTCCCACTGCAGGATCTCTGTCGCAATCTTGTTGCTGATCTGACAAAATTAGAGAAGTACATGGTGATAAAAATGTCTCTCTGTCTGTCTAGAATACATATTATAGAAATGTTTAGTT